AATAAGTGGTGAAATGTCAGTCCTGTGAAGAGCTTCCTACACCAGGCTTAAATAGATATACTTAGGCTACTTCAGCTAAGAGCTGGATGAAACTTGAAAACCCTAAACACAGCTGAGAAAACCTGAAGTGACATTTTGATATTAGTGAAACAGGATCAGTGTTGTATATACAGGAGATTAGAGGGCTTTAAAATGGAATAACCATTCTTGGCTTCTCTTCTAGCTCTTTGCAGGATATATCATGAGTATAGATCATGCTCTAAAATTGTGCCATTAAACAGGATGCTATACTATTAACAGGGGTGGTGGATCCTACAATTTAGACCCTGTTCCAAGCACTTAAACATGTTCTTACCTTTAAGTATGTGAGGCCAACAGAGGCCCATTTGTACTTAAAACATTTTAGCACTTGCTTAATTACTTTGCCATCCTGGGGCTTCAATTAGAATATCTGGAGCTTTATAGCAAAGATGATCCTATAACTAATGTTTGTACTGATCTGATTTTTTTTCCATATTAAACTGACAGCAAGAGCTGGGTTTCAGCCAGCAAGGTTCAGCTCGAATCTGAGGCCTAAATGCCTACATACGAATTATTAATACACATTACAGATAATCAAAATTGAGTGCAAGTGTATAATATCATGTTAATTAAAGTATGTCAGTATAAATGAATTAATAAATTAATGAAATATTGCACTGCCATAGAAGGATACATCTTGCCTAACTAACATTATCCTAGGGTAGTGATGAATTTCATAGCCTGAGGGTAAAGTTACACATTACACTTAGACCATACTAAAGGCAGTTTCATGAGCACCCACAAATTAATGCTTGTTCATTCATGCTAAATGTTCTCCGAGTGTCTCAAAGTTATGCTGCTTCAGGTGAGGGTTAACTCAGGGCTGTGATACCTAGCTCATGTTAGGGTAACATCAATCTGCTCCATGGAGATAAAATGAGCAATCTGCAGTACTCTAGAATCCCAGGATGCATCACTCCCAACCCCCACCCCAAGATTAGGGATAGAGCCCAGGTGTCCTGGTTTCTAGCCACACACTTGCTTGCCAGTCCTCTAGTGGCAAGTCAGAGCTGTGCAGGCAAGAAACAGTATTAGTCCTTAATGTGCGACTGCTCATAGCTCGTCCTAACTTTATCACAGCTTAACATTCCACAGATTTAGTCTGGTGTAACTTTACCCACTACTGAATCAGAGCATCTGATGAAGTGAGCTCTTCCTTACAAAAGTATATGCATCTCTGATTCAGTTAGTCTATAAGGTACATCTCTACTCTACCTTCTGTTTGACTCGGACCAACATGGTTAACTGCCCCTCTCTAATGTCATCCTAGTACCACCAGATAACCAATCTGAGCGAGTTCCCCAGAATATAAAAGAACAAAAAAAGCTAAACTGACCCAAAAGGAGAAAGAGCGAACTTTACATAAAATGGGTTGAACCAATAAATGAGGAGACCCAGCACGGAAAAAATGGAGTTGCTGCTGATCAAGACGACGACAAGAATACTGAAGACCCCCTGCCCCATCCATTCTTCCCAGTGGTTTAGGGAAGTATTTACACTGTTGTTATGGATGTCACTGATCTCTTTGAAGTTTCCATTAACTCTGTATATTAAAAGAAGAAAACAGTTTACAAAATTCCTTATTGACCTTTTGTACCTGTTGGGTGACTGGCTTTGAGCTGTAGGAGAGCATGGTGATAACTGCTCGGTTCTGAAATTCTCAAAACAGCCTGTCCTGAAATACAGAAAAGAAAAGAATTACAGTCAGGATGAAGATAAATACAAATAAATATGAAAGGCAGACAAGGTTCCTTGGGTAAACATGACAATCTTTTATTAGCTCAACTAACTAGTTGGAAAAATTGTTCCTTGCAAGCTTTTGGGACACAAACACTAAGCCTGCGCAAATAGGGAAGTATTTGATTTGGATTTGGCCAATTCAGATCACAGTGATTTAATTCAGTGATTCGAATCACTGTCCTCATTCACTTCGGCCAAATCAGAAATCGGAGATTCGGCACTGATTTGGGATTCGGACTGGCCGGGCAGAGGCGGGCACAGCCAGGCAGCTGCAGGTTCTCCCACAGCTCCTCCAGCTGTGCCTGCATCTCCTCTGGCTGGGGGAGCCACAAGAGAAGCCCCCATGGCTGCCCTGCCCAGCTCCATTCTCCACATAGCCCAGCCAGTGTACGGAGGAGCAGCAAAATGCAAGTGTGGCTCGCTCCAGGCAGCAGCAGGGAAAAGCCCCTGGTCTCAATCCTGCCGCACCCGCATCAGCGCTGGGAGCAGGGACTCTGCCCTGGCGCTGCTTGCCAGCCAGCATGGAAAGGGCAGGCACTGCCGCCACTTGCCAGCCAGAATGGAAGGGTGCAGGATGTGGGCATGGTACTGTTTGGAGCAGGGACTATGCCCTGCTGCCGCTTGTCCCTTTCCACCTGGAGTGAGCCGCACCTGCATCCCCCCAACAGTCCAAGCTGGGCAAGCGGCAGCAGGGCAGATCCCCTGCTCCCAGTGTTGCTGTGACTGCATCCCCCCCACCCCACCCCGTGTAATGCGCCTCCCCACCCCA